TCGGCAGACAGCTCTGCCCAGTAATCCAGTGTAAGCACAGTTCAACAAGAGAGGCACCTAGGCAGCAAGCGCCGCTGGGCCGCAGCGAATTCCGAAGACCACTCGGTTACAATGGAAGCTGCGACCCGCGGTCTTAATTCGCACACAGCGACGCCCCGCTAGCCTTAACTTATAAAAGGCCTTCTCGAGGTCAAGCAGCTCCAAGTGGTCCCCTGGCTGGACCCGGGCACGGAGTGTACCCAGTACTTCGGGGACACTGTGGCCACTACAGCTCGCCGCTGGTAGACATAAATTTGGACCTCGCATATCACTGCATAATCTGACTCGAGTACTCTTGTGTGTAGCCTGGGATAATGGCCGTATGGAAACTTTTGGGAAATTTTTTGGTGGTTTTTGGAAAAAAACTAAGAAAGAGTTCCCACCTAAGGTGGATGAGATCGCAGTTTCAACTTCCAGAACGATGTTTGGCGGTCGATCGATGGCGGTCGCACGTGTTCGCTTTCCTCAGCTGAGCTCAGAAGAGTTCCCTCACTAATTATAGGGGCTTACAGTCACTGTAATACAGTGTAAGCCTTACACACAATTTCGAGTAAAAGTGTACAAAAAGAATTTTGAAAAATTCCCCCAAATTTACTCACTATTTTCATCAACACATGTATAAAACCACAAAATCACCCCATTTCACGTGAAACACATCACGTGTTTTACGCGTTATTCACTTTCCAAATGCGTTTTCGAATATGTTTTTTTCGCGATTGTTTCTCATATCACGGGTTGTAAAACTCCAATGTTACTCGAGAAAAAACACGTGTGAAATATTGAGCCCGCCGCATACGAAAACACAGTCAGACTGTGATGTAGTAAGAACAGGAGCGCTTGGAAGTTGGCCGTTTGAACGTTTTAACGCATTTCTTCGAGCAACGATTATGTTGTGCTCTGCTATTTAGTTATAGATTAAAACGGTGCTAACGCTCGAGCCACTCGGTCTGACTGTCAGTCCAAAGGGTAAAACCACCAACAGTCAAACCCGAGACCCGGACGATCTAAGCCGTAAACGATTCTGAAATATCTGACTTGTCGTGACGAAGCAACCCGAGGACGTGGCTGTCCGACGGGTATCAGGTTGTCCACTCAGAACAGCCTGAACTCATAGACGAATCGTTCATCATGATCTTGTCAGATATTTCCGGCTTCGGAGATCAGCGCAGCACCCCATGAAACTGCACTGATCACCGTGATCGTCCGAATCGGGTTTAACTGCAGATGACCATACCCCTTTATGATTAACAACACTACAAGTTCGATTTACTCGATCCCTACACAATGGGAAGAAACATACACACCATCACTGATATAACTTATGCTTCCTCGGAGGAAGTTCCTCCGACTCAGAATCGCTCTCTTCGAACAGAGACATGAACTTACTCGAAGCTGTCTTCTGTACCTCTGTGACAGAGGCTCTGTCAATTCAGTGCAGACGCTGGCTGGAACTCTGCTCCTCCAAGACCCCTTATCGACGCCGTCAGGAGCTCAGAGGGAATACTTAGTAGGATGATAACCCAGTATTGCTGCTTAAGCAAAGTCCCTTGCGGATCGCTAGCTTGACCAGTTCTCTAAGCAACTGTAAGATGAGCCTTGGTTTCTCTGCTGGAAGTGCTCGTGGATCCTTATACAAATCTTGAAGTGCTTGCTGAACGGCAACTGTATCCCAAGTCTTGTACAAGTCCAACCAGTCATGCCATTTTGCTAAGTGCGCGAGATAGCACTTGGCTGTATCTTGGTTTCTGCAGGTCGATAGCCAGAGAATAACCATGTCATCATTCGCCGGGAGGGAACCGACGTTGTCAGCATAACTGAGAGGAGTTGCTACAAGTTTCATGCAGCAGCGTAGACCTTCAAGACTTCCACGCTCGACTCAAGCATGGCGTGATGCGACATTGAGTCAATCAACTGAAGACTCAAAATGACTCTGCGATTGTGGTCGATGAAGAGCTTGTCTGAGACTAGGAGTCTCTGACTGACCCCTCGAGCGATTCGAGACCGCAAAGAACGAACGAAATATTTTTATTTCGAGACCAGAGATAGCTTCCGCCCACGTCTACGCCTCGAGTCTAGGCTTCCCCCTAAAATTTATTCGTAACAACACCGTAGCGGAATCACCAGGAACAGAATCATGATCATAACTTAGTGACAATCACAGCGAGTGGCTTTTGGCAAAGTTAGGAAGTCGGTGTTCTTTTCTCGAGTAAGACCTCATGACTTCAACGAAGATTCGCCTGCTAGGCTTGTCGGCTGGATTCAAGTCGGACGGCACAAGGTCAATCCACACTTTCAAGTGAAACCGATCGCATAAATCCCAGAATTCAGGGATCATGTGTTTCACATCCGTGAGTTCTGAGTAGCCTTTCACCAAACCTTGTTCAGCTGCCACGTTGTCGATGAAAACGGTGACTGAACGATTTGAGACGTTTTCGCCGAATGTCTCGATCGCTACTAGCGCAACGAATAGCTCCAGAGCAACAATTTGAGTCCCCCGGTCAATTAGTCCAGCGTGAAACCACACCGGTGCCTCACAAGCTGCATAAAACGGTCGATCAGAATTTTTGTCGTACACCACCACGTCCAAACCTCCCTTGGAAGTTGCGTCAGAGTAGATGGAGGCCTGGGGAACAGGAGCTTTGTGAGGTCTTTCCAAGAGAGGGATGCGACAAACTGCAGTGGCGCTGGCGAGCATGAATTCTAGGCGTCGTAGCGCAGTGATTCTGAAGGGTCGATTCTTCGAGAGGTTGCAAACGCCAAATCGATATAAGTAACTAATAATCTCTCGAATGTAGAGCCTGCACGCATCAGAAGGTAGTAGAGTAGAGGCGAATAGAAGGCTGCCCGCTAGCTTGGCCGCTGTCGATGAAGACAGAGAATCCTCCGATACAATTCCCCGTATCGTTTGGACGATCTCAGCCTTCTTGCCTTGTAGAAAAAGACATGAGCTCTCTCTCGAGACGGAAAGACCGAGGCCCAGACGGTCTGGGCCAGACCCGGTAAATCAGATCATCTGACTCAGATGTGGGTCCCACACACCTCAGTTTCTTCAATTTTGGCCTAGGATGAGGTGGGATTACCTCCAAGCCGCATAGCCAGACTCCACCGAGGAAGCGCGTTTAGGAGCGAAATAATCATCGAGGAAGTTCAGCAGTACCAATCCTAGGGGAATTCTGCCGAGATGCGCCAACGCTTGCGAAATTCGGCAATAGTCCATGGCAGAGCTTGAGGCTCCGAACGGTTGAGCCACGTGGAAGAAAGTGCCTGCCTTACCGGTGAAAGGGTTCTCAAGGAGTACAACGGTACCCTTTTGAGAGTCGCAACCGCAAGGGACCTCTCTATAAGCAGACGCGTGGTCAGATTTCTACCACTTGAGACTTGCTGTTCCTGTCGCCCGAGCGTACTCGAAGGCCACTGCTGCCGCGGCTTCCGGGGTTGGAAGGGGAACCTGATCTTGGAATCTCATGGCGCGAATGGCTTTAGACCTCTTAAAATCATTTCAAGGGCGTGTTTTTTTTGCACCACTGCGAAGCGTGTATTTCCCACGAAACCTTCTTCGAAGAAAGTGTACAGACTTTCCACCGAGATTGGTCCCATCATTGTCGCATCCTCGGTCTGCTCGATAGCACTTTGTCATAAAGTCTCATCCCATTCGGCAGACTCTTATTCGAGAGCTTCTGCCATCTTTTTTTTGCCAATCCCGGACCAGATCGGAGTAGCTCTTCGAGATTAATGAACTTGCGCTTCTTAGCTTCTCCGGTGTTCCGCCGGAAGATGGATTCGGGAAGCTCAAAGGTCCCTGTTAGTGGCAAACCGTCTTGGAGCTCATCGGCAAGCGAGACATCGGGGTAAGCGCTGGCTTGAAGCATCTCCTTGAATGAAGGGAGATTCAACTTCCCGGCAACGGCTCGGACCTTCTCTGGCATGCGAGTCACGGTCCGTAACTCACGGAATTGCTATAGGCGGCCATGAGGTCACATGATGAAGCGAGATGTTCCTCTGGTGAGGAGCAATGGATAGACTCACCAACGTCCTCACCGCGAACAGCCCTGGGCTGCACACCGCTGCCGACTCTACAAACTCTTGGCACGAAGTAACATACCATCTCAGAGAGATCCGAGCGAACCGCAGAGCTCTTTGAAGCTCGCTGATCTGGAGAGGGCGAAGTCCTCAGGATACGGCGAAGATCATCTAGAGCCACGACTCCCAGATATGTACATGTCTGCGTGTTCGGAGGTCCCTCTCGAGGTGACGACGCATGGATCGTCAGAGGCGAGCTGGTCTCTGTCAGAGACGGGGAGATTGGAGTATGGGATTCCAAGACCGGTGAGGTCGTTTCCACTGGTGTCAATTTCGGCTTCAGGCCAGGTGGTGCGAGGGACTGACAACACAACACCGATTAGGTCCGACAGAATAAAGTGAGAGAAAAGAGGTACGACTCATATGGCAGACAGCTCCGCGAGCTCAAAAAAAACTTCTATGACTCGAAAGCTGAGACTCCACGAATGGAGTATCTATCACTCGGAGAGCACTTCACTTATTTACTTTCTCCTTGTGGTCGTCCTTTTTCTTGCCAACATCGTTGTCCTCGCTACTCTTCCAACGTTTAGAGTTGGAGTTCCAACCATTATACCAGCCACCATTGGCTTTTCCGCTCCAGCCATTACCCCAGTTCTTGTACCAGTATTGGTTATTGGAGTGGGAACCGTAAGAGCTCCAGCTGTCATTCCACGGACGTTTAGTGCCACGGTTGTCGTAGGGCTTGCGCGAGCTCAACTGGGAAGACAGAATGAGTAATTGGGAAGCATCGACGTCAGCCAGATTGCCAAGAGCCTCCTGCAGTGTGATATCTTTAGCCGACACCATCTTGGCGAGCCCCTGGCGAACATGTAAATCGTAGGCTCTACACAGAGGCAGCCCTCCAAACTTGTTAGAAGTACCAGAGAACTGAACCGAAAATAACACGTGCAGGGCATGGCTCATCGGTAGACCCCAATCACATATCCCGAGGATAGCGACGGTAACCGCCCAAGATAGCAAACAAGAAGCAAAGTAAGCCAGCCCTTCCTTCTCGAGCTCGGGATCTCCACAGAAGGAATCCAACGGATCCGTAAGAATGCGACCGGGATCTTTGATACACGCGGCCAAACGATCTGGGTTAATGAGCTTGGCATCAAAGGAGCCAATACCAGAACGTCTGATGTAGCTCAGCGTGCTCTCAGCACTATCCACCTTGGAGGAGTCATCGGAGCGGTTGAGAGAAGATTTGATGTTAAGGCCTGCGATTAGCTTATCCACAAACTGATTGGCAGCTCGAGAGATGGCGTTCCCCACAGGAACAGAGGAGACACCCAGCTGTTGGACTTCAACGACAGATTCCGTAGCAGGGTCCGATGGAGTACCCGATTTCTTGGAGACCTTGGCGGTCTCAGAGATGAGCTTAGAGTTCCTAGCAGACCTGCGCTTCTTCTTGAGAGCTTGCTCGGGGTCAATGGTGCACCGAGCGGCGACCCAGGATTCTCGCGGCTACTGACCTTGTCGGGTGTGGAGACAACCACTTCCTGGCTAGAGGAAGAGGTGCCCTCGAGGGCTTGCCCCTCTGCTTGGGCCTCACTAGAGGCAGCCGGAGACTCTTTGGGATGGTCCTCGGTCTGAGCTTCGACGGCGGTCTTCTTGGCCATTGAAAGAGAGACGCTGCTTGGCAACTTACAACGAAATACGCTGAACAGTTGAGTCTGAACTCGACAGCGAGGATGCTTTCTGGTGGTCACATAGGACGGATACAACAAGTAACAACATTGAATGCATGATGATCACTATCATAATTATCAGATAATGCCGCAGAGGGCTCGCATAGCCTCAGAGGACTTTCGAAAAGATGAACTGGACTCGGTAAAGGCGACGACAGAATACTTGTCAAGTAAAGGGCTCACTACGCCGCAGAGGACTCGCTATGCCACAGAGGGCTCGCTATGCCACAGAGGGCTCGCTATGCCACAGAGGGCTCACTATTCCGCAGAGGGCTCACTATGCCACAGAGGGCTTGCTGAGTCACAGAGGGCTCGCTATTCCGCAGAGGGCTGGCTAATCCACAGAGGGTTCGTCAATCCACGGAGGGTTGCCAAAGTCACAGAGGACTCGAGAAGCCACGGAGGGGGTCCAGTTAAGTCAGGCAGGCTGACAGAATCACGGAGGCCACCGGAGGAACTTCTTGGGGAGACGCGAAGGAAGGAGGAGAGGTGAGGTGAGGGACTTGAGAGTGCGTGAGGAGGTGAGCAGAGGGGGGGGAAGGGGGGGGAGGTACCTGAACTGAACCGCCGAGGGATAATCAAAGAAGGGATTCTAATGCAACAGTACCAGTCCAACACACAAGACTAAAAGAACTCGTCGCTTACCCCTACATTTTTTTTCCGAGTACCCTCCTCGAACACATCACTCACGCGAAGCCGTGAGTTGAACCTTGCGGGCAAGCTATAGCGTGATCGAATCGGTGGCGCGCCGCATCGGCCGGGCGCGCGCAAAGACCTTCGAGGCTCGACCTAACACATTTTAACGCGCCAATCGCTAACGCGATTACCATGCTATAGATACGTAGAAATGACGAACAACAATGGGACTTGTCCGAGTGAGACTCGGCGAATTCGTCTAGTTCGTAGGACATATTTTAATTCTTGCTTCTCGTAGCGGCCCACTAATCGTATCACTACAACCTATTAACACGGAAGGGTGCTGTGGCTATGAGTGTCACCATGTAGCAGGATTTGTGTAGCAAGTAGATTTATTTGAATCGACTCTATCCAATCAAACTGTTATATATCACCCTACTGAACGTCAATCAACTAGTGACTAGCTGCGACTGTTTAATTATCAATACAATCTAAACTACCAGGAGTAGTGGACTCCACTATATTCGATCCTGATCGTGAAACAAGAGTACACGAAATCTGTAGCCGACTTCGCTTCGCTCGGTCGGCCCTGAACTCAGCACCGGAATAATCGCAAACCTAGACACCTTACTGCATGGAACAGCACTTTTTGCATGGAATTGTAGCACTAGTTTAGATTAAGCATCCTAGCTTAGATTTGCAGGAAGCGCATAGATTAGACCAATCTTCCCATTCCTCACACTTGCATAGCATCAAATTGGCCAACACTGTAAAAAACACTTATCTCACTTAATTCAATTATCTTTATTGATGGTATGATCGCAATGCGTCAGTTGCGTTGACGATCTGGTCTCAGCAACGTTCTTGTCGATTATGCTTTGAGCACCCCATGATATTTGGTTGCTAGTAGAGAATCTTGAGTGGCGATATATATATTCACCATAACGGATTCCTTCACCCGAGAGAGACACATTGTGTGTTACGTGGGATTGGGATAACGATCGATGATGATGCACCAGCATCTCCCAGAACGATTACTAATCGGAGTCGAGCCAATACTTGTTGCGGAGCGAGCGAAGCGAGCGGAGCTTATATTACTGCGCACGAACACTCGTGTGCGTGCGTCCGTCCGTCCGTCCGTCCGTCCGACCGTGCGTGAGCAAAAATTCCGACCCGACCAGGGCGATTCAGAAGACAAACAGGGTATCATTCTGTCACCCGTTGGCTGCTCATCAGCGTAAAAATATAGCGAAAGTGTGGCTCTTGCTTTGCCCGCTTATTTTTGACGAAACGGTTCTGCGCACAAGTGATGAACTGTTAGCTCAGCACGTTAGTATTCACGACTCTCAACCGTATGACCTAGGGTCAAATCCCACGATGGTCATTTTTCTCACATGTCTCCATAAGGAGACGGTTTACACTGGAGACGTTTATCCACGCCTTCTACTATTATGGAACGGAATAAATGTTTTTAAATCAGATGTTACATGTAACACAACTTTTTGCTTTTAGTCATCCAATTTCCAAAATAATTTCAATAACAGCCCGCTGAATTCTTGATAAGAAGCTCAGCGAGCTCCGCCCCTTCGCACCGAAGACCTAGTCTACTTAAGTAAGACCTACCCAGACGCAAATTCACGACGCAAACTCAAAACTCAGCAGTTGGGCATAAAAAATCGACCTAATCAAATGCCAAGCGTTACGATGATCAGGTCTGATGATCAGACCTTCACATTAATAATATAACCAGCATTGGAGAGGCCATCGAGCTAGACGAGAGTTCACTGAACAAGTTATCAATGACTCGGTGACATTGACTCCATCATCATGAGACGGAGTCAGAGTAAAAAATTAAACCTTCTTTCCTTCAAGTATCTTATTGACAGCCGCCGCAGCATTCACGCGGCCGAAGGGAAGGGTCTTTTCCCCTTTACTGTCCTTGAGACCTTGGGTGGCCGTATCCTTGATGATACGTTTGATGTCAGCAGGGGCCAGCTTATTCTTCAGAGAAGGTTCAAGGCTGTAGAGCATCCCAGCTATACCTGCTACGATAGCGGCGGAAACCGAAGTACCCGTATCTTGGCTATACTTCCCTTTGAGATCAGTTGTAACTATTCCCTCACCTGGAGCGGCAATGTCAACAGCTGAACCGAAATTACTGTCATCAGAAAGCCGCATCTTGGAACCATCTGTTGCAGCCACACATATCACTCCATCAGTGGGTGAACGGTCGAAGGAACAAGGGAAGTCTGGATATATGTCCAGATCCAGGTGCGCATGCCCTGCGGTGACGACAACGAGCATGCCAGCTGCAGTTGCTTCCCGAATCTTGTCGTCAATGAATTGGGGTCCACTTGAATCGGACCTTCCGTCATGAGAATAACTTTCACATCATCTTTCCTCTCATTGA